ATTTGATTAATTTTATATGTATTTCATTTTAGAAAATTAATTATTATATATATATATATATATGTTATATTTTAGTTTATTTGATTTTTTTAAATTTATATTTCAGTATATAAAATTATTATTATTTATATATGTTATATTTTTCAGTTTATTTGATTTTTTAATGTATATTTCAGTATATAAAATTAATTATTATTTATATATGTTATATTTTTCAGTTTATTTGATTTTCTTAATGTATTTTTCAGTATATAAAATTAATTATTATATATATGTTATGTTTTCAGTTTATTTGATTAATTTTATATGTATTTCATTTTAGAAAATTATATATGTTATATTTTAGTTTATTTGATTTTTTTAATGTGTATTTCGGTTTATAAAATTAATTATTATATATATTATATGTATTTTCAGTTTATTTGATTATGTATTTTCTTATATCTTAATAGGGATTTCAAAATGTCTCAAAGATCGAAAGATAAAGACCCGGCTTGGCGATATGGCGATAGAGTTAATGAGAAGAATACAAATATTGTATGCAAGTTTTGTAACAAGATTACAACGGGTGGAATTTATCGCTTTAAATTCCATCTTATTGGTGGCGATAGAAACGTCACAAGTTGTCCGAAATGCCCACCGGATGTGAGGGATGAAATAAAGAATTTTGTTGAGAAGAAGGAGCAAAAAAATCAAATGAGTCATCAACCATTAGTGACCAATATTGATGATGATGATGATGATATTGAAGAATTGTCACTTCCAACAAAACGGGGAAGAGATGCAATCTCTTCAAGCCATGGATCGACGGGTACGAGTAGGACTAAAGGTCCTATAGATTGCTATTTCCCAAAGAAGCCGGAAGGAAAGAGCGGTGGAAAAGATGTACAAAAAATTGCTAAGGACATTTTGAGGGATCGTGCAGTTAGAGCTTTTGCACGATGGGTCTATGATGCTGGGCTCCCCTTCAATTGTGTCAACTATACTGGCACTTTTGGAGACTTTATTGAGACCGTTGGTCAATACGGACCTGGAATGAAGCCTCCCACTTATCATGAAATCAGAGGTCCTTATCTAAATAAGGAAGTGGAAGAGACTAATAAAATTGTGGAGGAACATAAAGTTGCGTGGAACAAGTATGGCTGCTCCATTATGATGGATAAGTGGACGGCAAGAACTGGAAAAATGATTATTAATGTGTTGGTGAATTCTCCCAAGGGAAGTTTATTTCTTGAGTCCATTGATGCTAGCGACTCATCCACTGACCACATCAAAATGTTCACCTTGTTTCAGAACACCATTGAAAAGATTGGCTCAAGCAAAGTTGTTCAAGTGGTCACTGATAATGCGAGTGAAAATGTGAAAGCGGGTGGCATGGTGGAAGGAGCGTACAAGAATGTCTATTGGACTTCATGTGCGGCTCATTATATCAACTTAATATTCGGGGACATTTTCAAGGAAAAACCCTTCTCTACAGTTTTTGGCCAGGGCGTTAGGGTACATTCTTATATTTCTCAGCGGCCCTTGTTATTGAATATGATGAGAAGATTCACCGGACAAAAAAATTTGGTGAAACCGGGCAAGACAAGGTTCGCCACTGCTTTCTTGACTTTGCATAATATCCACTTGCAAAAATCCAATTTGAGAAAGTTGTTCACTTCAGAGGAATGGAGCAAGACTAAATTTGCAAAGGAAAGTGCGGGGAAAGATGTTGCACGCATTATTCTTTCTTATTCTTTTTGGAATAATGTCCTTCATGCTCTTAAAATTGGTGGCCCTTTGGTTAAAGTACTACGTTTGGTGGATGGGGAGCAAAAACCACCAATGGGCTACCTCTATGAAGCTATGGATAGGTCCTAGGAGGCTATTCAAGCATCATTATATGCAAAGGTCTTTCAGATCATTGATGCAAGATGGAGTGAGCAACTTCATAGACCTTTGCATGCAACTGGACTTATTCTGAACCCGTCACTCTTTTATGATCAGCATGAGAATAATTCATTGGCTAGAGAAGTGTGGACAGGATTCCATGAGGTTGTTATCAAGTTGACCCCAGATGAAGACTTGCAAGAAAAGATAGTAGATCAACTTGCTATTTACAAGGCAACCGAGGGACTTTTTAAGCTCCGACTTGCTATTAAACAAAGAAAGACGAAGTCGCCAGATGACCAAGTGCTTCTATATTTTATAGCTCTAACTTTAATGTATTTTTTATACTTATTAACTCTTGAATATTTTTTTTTATTTGTATAGTTGAGTGGTGGGACCAATATGGTGTGGAGACTCCGGATTTACAGACTTTCGCCATCAGAGTTCTAAGTTTAACCTGTAGCTCATCCGGATGTGAAAGTAACTGGAGCGTTTTTGAACACGTGAGAAATAAAAAGAATTATTTCGTGTTTTGAGATAAAGTAAATTATATCTCAATTGTCCCAACTCCTACTAATTAGTTGACACATCTTGTTTGTAGATTCATACAAAGAAGAGGAATCGACTAACCTTGAAGCGCCTCCATAATCTTGTGTTCATAAAATACAATAGAGCATTGAGGCGTCGCTACAACCACCGCAATCTAATTGATCCAATTCTTTTGGACAATATTGATGAGGCTAATGAGTGGCTAACCGGAGTCCCCGAAAATTGTGAAGATGAAGAGGTATTTGAAGGCGACTCTAATTTCACTTGGGGTGATGTTGCGGTTGCTAGTGGAGTTGGGGAGAATCCTTATGGTTTAAGGGGGAATACTTCAAGTGCAAGCTCGATTAGGAAGGGAAAAAGTGTGGCTACTACAAGTCGATCCCTATCCCTAATTGATGAAGATGAAAGTGATCATGAAGAGAAAGAGGAGGGGGAAGAAGAAGATGACGAGCAATATGAAGATAATAGAGGAATTCAAGATTTTGTCAATCTTGAAGAAGAACAAGAAGAGTAGAAGAATAAGATGTTGATTCTAGTAATTTAGTAGCTTTGATTTTGCTTGTCTTATGGTTTGTGGAGGATTTGGTGGTACATAGTACCTACTTTTAAGTTTTTCAATTGAACTTTTTGATTATTTATAATTTTATATTGCGTCTTTGCAAGGTTACATTATGTTTTTTAAGAATTGTGCTTCACTTTAATAAAGCGTGTGCTTCGCTCGCCCTTGTCGCTTTTTTGCGCTTCTCGCTCTTAAAAACACTGGTTTCAAGTTTGAAAACATGTGGCTACAGTTAAAAGGGTTCCCGGACAAATTGAAGCACTGTTCGTAGAGTTACACTTTCATCAATATTGCAGATTTCATCCTTCTGCAAAAGTTGAAAAACTTGAAAAAGAACATTTACTACTTGGAATAGGGAAGAATTTGAGGTGGTGGAAAACTAGGAAAATTAGGGAACTAGATGAACTTATGGCATTTGACCAGGCTGCAGAAGTAAGGCAATTGACTTTATCTGAGTCCAACCAAATGATGAACCTAAGAGTTAAATTACAGTAGCTGGCCAAAGCAGAAGAGATGTCATAGAGGCAGAAGTCTAGGTGTCTTTGGCTTACCGAAGGAGACAGGAACACTAAATACTATCAAAAGATTGCCAACTCACACAGAAAGGGAAACTGCATAGACAAACTCATGGTTGGTAGTGAAATCATTGAGGATAAAGAATTGATGAAGGATACACTGGATTTCTATGAAAAGCTGTACACTGAACAAGATAATTGGAGACCTGCTGCTAATTTTGAAGGCATTGCCTCCATAACAGAAGAGGAAATGTGTGATCTGGAAGAACCTCTTGTTGAAGAGGAGGTAATAGAAGCTATACAATTAACTCCTCCAATCAAGGCACCAGTACCTGATGGGGATACAATGGCCTTTTACCAACAGTCGTGGGAATTCATAAAATCTGACATCCTTGTAGCATTGAATCGTAACATCAACAATGTTGGAGGGTTAGATCATGTAATGCATCCTTCATTGCACTGATACCTAAGAAAAAAGGAGCTATGGAATTAGGAGACTACATAGAATTAGCCTCTTTGGCAGTGTATCCAAGTTAGCTAAGGTCCTAACTAAAAGATTGAGGAAAGTGATGGGGAAATTGGTCTCAAATCAGCAAAAATGCTTTCATGGGGGGTGGGTGGGGAGATTACAGATGCCTCATTAATAGAAAATGAGGTTCTTGATAGCAATTGAAGCAGAGGGGTGCATGTATCCTATGTAATCTGGACAGGGAGAAAGTTTTGACCAACTGAACTGGTTCTGTCTCATATCCATCCTTGAACAGATGGGGGATTTGGTGAAAGGTGGATCAAATGGATCAAGTTCAACATTTCCACTGTGAAGTACTCTATTTTGATCAACATAAGGCAGTTGGTTTTTTTCCCCATAAAGAGGCTTGAGGCAGGGTGGCCCTCTATCACCATTCTTATCATACTTGAAATTGAAAGATTGAGCAGAATATTGGACAAAGCTAAGCAATTGGAATAGCTAAGTGGCTTTGAAGTTGGGAGAAGTTTCTCAGTTAACATATCTCATCTGCTTTATGCAGATGACACCTTGATTTTCTGTGGGGCTGACAAAAATCAGGTGCTTTATTTGAACCTAACCCTCCTTGTTTGTAAAGCTCTTTCCGGTTTACACATGACATGCTCAAAAGTGTAATCTATTTTGTTAATGAGGTGCAAATCTTGAAGAACTGGCAAGTATACCAGGCTGCAGCATTGGGTCTTACCCGACTACCTACCTAGGAGTTCCACTAGCGGCCAAATACAAATTAAAACATATAAGGACTGGGGTCATTGAGAAGTTTGAAAAGAAGCTAGCCTTCTGGCGGTTGCAGTATTTATCAATGGGAGACAGACTGACCTTGATCAATAATGTCCTTGACAGCATCCCTACTTACTATATGTCACTATATCCTACGAGTTAAGATTCTGAGACAACTTGATAAAATCAGGAGGAATTTCCTATAGGAAGTTAACAACAGTGGGCACAAGTTCCATCTGGTCAAGTGGTCTAAAGTCCTATTACCAAAGCACCAAGGTGGACTAGGTATCAAGGAATTAGCTCTTCATAACAAGTGCTTGTTAATGAAGTGGCTTGGAGTTACACACAGGAGGATTAGAGCCTTTGGAGGAAGTTGTCAAGGCCAAGCTTGAAATTCAGAATCATTGGTGCACTAGATTATCAAGAGCACCACATGGAGTTGGAGTCTGGAAGAAAATTTGCAAACACTCTTGGAGGAGTTCTCTCAGAACAAGCAGTTAGGGAATGACCATCATATCCAATTTTTGAAGGATAAGTGGTTGGGCAACACAGTTCTTATGGATGATTACCTTCTATATATCAGCAGATGGTTAGAGATTCAGACTCAACAATCTACTAGAATAAGGAGGGCAACACATGGAACATAAGATTCAGAAGTAACATGAAAGACTGGAAATTTGTGGAACTACTCAGGCTATTAGCTACATTTAATGGCTTCTCAAGCAATACCCTAGTACCAGACCAGTTCAGATGGGGAGCTGAACATGTAGGAAGGTATTACGTGAAAGCAGCTTACAAGCTAATCTGGAAAGTTAAAACTCACAATGCAATCACTCATCATTCGCCTTGGAAGCTAATCTGGAAAATTAAACTCACAATGCAATCACTAATCATTGGCCTTGGAAGCTAATCTGGAAAGTTAAATCACTAATCAGGGCATTGCCAAATCAGTTTTGTTTTCAGTGATACTATTTACTATGTAGGTGATACTTCTCAGTTGGTACTATTCTATCATTACTATTTTCAAGTCGTACTATACTATCATTACTATTTTGGTGATACTATCATGTGATACTATTCTGAAAGTATATTTTTAGGTGACCTAATTCCTCCCATCACATGATTCTTCTTGATTATAAAATATATTCCATCCGTTTCAATTTATGCGAATCTATTTCCTTTTTAGTCAGTTTCAAATAGAATGAACCTGGTCCTATTAAGGGAACTCTTAATTTAGGATTTTAATATTACCCTTAATAAAAAACTTTCACAGCCACACAAATGGTATAACATGTTTTGCACCACAAGTTTCAAAAGATTTATAAGCACACAAGTGTTATGACATATTTTAAATTACAAGTTTCTCAAAAGTTTTTCGTTTTTTATTAAACTCCGTGCCTAGTCAAATAGGTTCACATAAATTGAAATGGAGGGAGTATTGTATTTATGGCTTAGTTGAATGTGTAATCAGACCGTCGTGAGAGAGTTGTACTCACCACTGGAGGAGTATGTCTGCAACCACTTGGACTGAACACTGCTGTAAAAATTTTCAAGGCTACGTGAATGTGCACTAGTGCTTCTTTATCAGTACTTGACCTGATTATGACATTAAAATAAATACACTCTAGAAGCCCAACAAACAAAAGTCCACTTCTTACTCAAATTCCCTATGGAGAGGCAATATTGAAGCATAGATGTCAGAGGGGAAAAATAATACTTGGTGCAATCCTTTTAGCTTCCTGCTGGAAGGAAAGTAAATTGCTCTCATATGGGTATCAAGACTTTGACCAAGCGCAACAAGAGTGCTCATGAAATGGTGGTGGAGGTATGCTCAAGAAACAACAAGCATGTGGAAAGAGGTAGTAAATGCCAAATATGGGGTGCAAGACAGGTGGTGCACCAAGCAGAGCAGAGCCCCACATGGAGTTGGCCCATGGAAGCATATCAACAATCTGAAAGATGAATTCTTTCAAGAGGTATCCTTCAAGATTGGGAATGGCAACAATATTAAATTCTGGAAGGACAGGTGGCTCAACAATCAACCTCTGAAAGATTCACATCCTGGCCTTTATCAGATTGCTTCTGACCCTGAATCTTCAATAGCTCAAAATAGAGCAGGGAACACATGGGATCCCCACTTCAGAAGAAACATGCAGGATTGGGAGCTAAATCAGCTATTTGACCTATACAGAGTACTTGAAGATGCCATAGGGAATCCTCAAGTCTCAGACAGCTTAAGGTGGGGCAATTCTGATAAGTGTATCTACACAGTGAAGGCAGGATATAGTAAACTAAGTGCATCTAATGATATGATGGAACATTGGCCATGGAAGTTGATAAGGAAGACAAAACTCCCTACTAAAGTTATGTGCTTCTCCTGGACAGCCCTCAAGGAAGCTATCTTGACCTAGGATAACCTGTTCAGTTGGCAAATAGGTGCTACATGTGTCAGCTCAACCCAGAGTCGGTTAACCATCTGTTACTACACTCTACAGTGGCTGTAGATCTATGGAACATGTTCCTTGCACTTTTTGGAATCAGTTGGACAGTCCCACAGAATATTAGGGATGCAGCAGTTAGCTGGAGCCTCTGGCAAGTTGATAGATCCATCAAGAAGATCTGGCGAATGATCCCTGCATGTATTTTCTGGTGTATCTGGACAGAGAAGAATCGTAGATGTTTTGATGACATTTCAACTTCCAACTGTAACCTGAAGTCTAAATGTTTGATGAGTCTTTTCAGCTGGAGTAACCTTTACCCTGTAAATGATACTATTCCCCTCTTAGATTTCATTAGCTCTCTCAATGGTTTAGTAGCCTTTCCCTTTTGCTCTTGGTTAACTCCCTGCTCTAGAATGGTTTTTTTGTATTAAGAGTTAACCAAGTTTTCTATTGTAACCTTTTGCATCTTCTTGATGCCTATAATGCAATACCTTACTTCATTAAAAATAAAATAAATTTGCTCTCACATGGGCAAAATATAAAGAGAATTGTGGCGCCATAATTTTACAGGAAGTTGAAAAGTAAGTTAAAAGGCAATGATGTCCCTAGCATCTTGTAAACCTGTTTTCTGCTCTCATTAATTGTTGATATAGTGGTGTCAATATAAGATGACATCAAATCTGCAACTCTATGGAAGGTTGAGGCCAATACTTTTGCTAAAGTAGGCCGTTCCTGCATGAAATATACCAGACAATGCATTAGATCCTCTGTTGGCCAGACACTTTATTGTCTATAGACATGGATTGGGTACCTTATATGCGTGCGTTCTTGATAATCAGCAAATGACTTGCTAGAAATTGAATGCATGCGTTTCTTTGTAAAATAGTTTTGATGAGATCTTAGGGAAGCACCAAACATAAATGTCTTGTATGACAGTGGTGAGAGCATAAAAATCTGAAAGTCAGGTGGAAAACCTGGTTAGGTCTTAAATGGTGATCCAGATGTTGTAATAAATTTGAGGAACTTCATAAAATGCTATATCGTACTGTCACCTTCCTACATCACAAAAGAGAGGATGGAGGAAAAAATTACAGCAATTTGGGAACTTCGATGTTTCATGTATATTGAGATCTTATTGAGCTTTGTGCTTGGACATCGGTTAAGAAAAACATTCTAAGGCTTGTCTTGGCTCTTTGAAGTTGTTGCTTTTCAGTTTTCATGCTCTACTGTCTTGTCTCTTTCCCCCTTCATGGCTATTCATGAGTTTTCGTCAGTCCTTGGAGTTGTATGTTATTGCTGTTTGATAGGTGATTTTTTATTTTTGAATACATGATGTGGCTTGCAACCTCAGCACCTTTCGCAAACTAACTTGATTAGCCTGATTAAGTCGCCTTGTTGACTCATTGCTATATTTGATAATCGATTGCAGATAATGACCATTCTCTTTTGAATATTTCTTCTTTGAGAATATTGTGGCTTAATACATAATTCCTTAATCCTAGAACAGTGGTCAATAGGCCACTGCAACTTAAGTACAATTCGTGTTTTCATAACTACCTCTGCTTCTTATCCAGGTGTATTTCCTTGATGGTGAGGCCATCTCAGAGGTGATTATACACTACTTAAGGTTCCTAAGTTCCAGGAGGAGGAGAACCATTCTTCAGTATTTCCTATTGGGTGGGACCATTGCATCTATTCTTATTGTCTTCCTTCACGTTTTCCTTGTTTTATTTTGAGATAATTTTGCCAAATATTGCTTCTTTGTAAAGGGGTGGAGCTTGGAGACAGATTTGCTCTCCCTGCGCGTTTGGAATTATTATGTCATTTGCTCATGTATGTTTTGACAGATTAACGTGGTAAATGTTCTTTTGTTTCTTCCTGCATGCACCCCACAAAAAGAAAATAAAGGAGAAAAAAAAACCCTCCACTTTTCGTCAGTGAGTTAAATTTTTCGTATAAAAAATGTTTACTATGTACCAACTCTTTGTTCTTCCCTCTTTTTTGGCTGTGTTGGGTGCTTTGAACTTTTACTCAATAGCACACAACTTGGTAGAGTACCAATTTTTTTTTTGATTCGTCGTCAAAGTTTCCTGTTTGTGCAAAATAATCTGTGTTTGAGTGATAATTAAAATGCTGTTAAAATTCTTTTCAGACAAGTGCATACGGTGGTTTCTAGGGAGGTGTACTATTTACCTTATCTAGCTGCTGAATTAACTGATGTAATTCAGACAATATGACCTGCGAATATCTGTTAATCGGAAAACTGTTCTCCATTATTTGGGCCTTGGAGAGGCAGGTTGATGAAAACTTGATAGTTAATGATGCAATTGTTCTTGACGTAATGCATGAAATAGGGACGCTTCAAAGGTGGTTTTCAAAACTTTCTTCAACTATTTACCAGATCAGTGGGTATTGATGTTCGAGGTTCAATAAAAACACACTTTGAAAGAAGAAGAGAGTACTCACCTTGTATTGTTATCTCTCTCTAAGCCGTAGAGGAAGTGCCTGTGGTGTAAAGGAAAGAAAGTAGAGGTTTTTTTTTGTTTTTTTTTGTTTTTTTTTTGGTGAATCNTATATAACTAAAGTACAACAAGGAGGGGGACACAAACCTTACCTCCGAATAAGTGGTTGGTATCAGTGTGGTAAAAGTTAGAGAGAAGAAGGAAGATTAGACGAATTGAGCCAAGGAGAAGGAGAATTTTGTTTCTGTTTTAGAGCTTAGCTAGTGGATATTATATTTTTTGGGCTACAAGGACAATATATTTGTTGACTAAGTGAATGCAGATGGGTGTAAAAGACTCTACATTTGTGCCAGTTTACTTTCCTAAATACGACGGTATGGTACACATCGAATTGTCAACGCGGGATAGACTAAAAAATGACATTTGAGTAGAAGCGATTATTCTTCCCAATGATATTTTATCGAGGACGAGTTGTGAAGGATTATTCTATAATAAAAATATAGATAAATAGACCAGCTGTTTTGCATTTCTTATAATGAAATAAATAGGAAGTTGTTCATGGTGGAAGTGTAATCCTCTTAATTGGGTCACATGTCCAAGATTGACGACATGGAATCACATTAGTTGCCTGTGGGTTGAAACATATGCTTATATCCCATAGATACAACTAGTGGTGGCAAAATGGTTAAAAGAAAACAGTTAACCATTCATATTATCTACTAAAAAATAGGCTGGATAATGAATTTTTTAAAAACGGGTCAAATATGTATAAGAACTATATTATTCATTTAGATAATGGATAACCAATGAGTTTAACTTTTACATTTGTAAAGTCTCAAATTGGAGGTTCCTTAAGTTTGGAAGACTAGGAATTCTTCCAAAAGTGATCATATTCAAAAATGCATGGATAATATGATTACTTAAGTTTGGGACAAGGGCGGCTCAATGGTAAAGCCACTCAAGCAAATGCTTGAGGCCCCACATCTAGGGGGGCCCCAAAATTTTCTGATACTGTATTATATAGTTATATCTGTATTTGATGATTTTTTTTAAAAATAAATCAGTATATAAAAAAAAGTATATTTTTCATAAATAAGGGAACTATGAGACCAATAGAGATAATTTGGGAATAAGAATAGTTACTTAAGTGTGAATATATGTCTTGCCTCCTTTATATATTATCATTATTATCACATGGCCCACGTTACTTTTATTACTTTCTCTTTAAACTGATTTTTACTTAATCTTTTATATTCCTTTCCAAACTTATAAGTCCACTGTCTCATAAATATTCTGTCAAATATGATAGTAGAAAGTAATTGCAAACTCTTTTTTTGTCAAGCTTTCCCGGAATTGCACCAAAACTATTGAAACGGCAAAAGTAATATATCAAGTTATCCATGACTATTTGTTAAACCAGGTTCAATTATTCTATACTTTTCTTATTACTTTGCATCTAAATTTTTTTTTATATCTTTTGTTTGTAAGTATATGTATTAGCTTTTTAAATTTATTAGAATTTTAATATGTCAACAAGAAAATATGAATCCCCATATTTAAAAAGGCCAAAAAAGGAGAGAAGAATTGAAACTTTAATACAATCCCAAAAAATAGGAAGAATTTATGGTAGATAAACAAATCATTAATATAATTGAGGTAGAAGAGAATTAAATCCAAGAAGAAGAAGAAGTTGGTGAGAGTTTAACAAAGATCTTTTAGAAAATTAGGAAATCCTAAAAGAATTAAATAATAATCCCAGAAAGTAGAAATATATATAATCCTAGTTAAGAAATCGATTATAAATAAATTATTAAAAATTACATCTCAAAAAGCTAGAAAAATTAACTTCAAAATAAAATTTTATTAAATGAATTTTTAAATATGAAAAACTTAGGGCCCCTCGTTGAAGTTTGGCTTTAGGCCCCGGATACCGTTGAGCCGCCCCTGGTTTGGGAGACTAGAAATTCTCCCAAAAGTGATCATATTCAAAAAGCATGGATAATATGGTTACCCATATTATCCGCCGGTTAACCCGTTTTTTATTCGTATTAAATATGGGTCAGGTCGGATAATTTATCCGTTTTTTCATTACACGTTTTCGACCCGAGCCATATCCGCCCCGCCCCGCCCGTTTGCCACTTCTAGATACAACGTTTCTTGAATATCAAAGCACTTGAGGCTAGGAAATACTTTAGTGACCGTCGCGATGGCATTTCTGATTTGTTTAGCGTTACTCGTTGTCGTTGATCCAGGTTTAATTATTCTATGATTTTCGAGAGTTTTCAAAAGATCGAACCTGTCTTTCAATTTTATGGTTAGATTAAAATATTGTTCTTGATTGTAGCTTGAAGCACAACAAGTTCCATGCTTAATATATTGATCTTTCCAGAAACTCTGGCCTTGCTTACAGGCCACTTCGGAGGTAAGTAAATCTGGCCAGCGTTCATACAGCTTATTTTTTATGTAAAAAGATGGTGGCCATTGTAAAACGAACAGCAGGTAGTCGAAAGCATAAACTGGGGAAAGAGCAAAAAGCATAATGAGGATTACTAACATGTTCTGCGATTTCAACATTTTCTAGTTCGAGCAACTCAGTTTCATCTCTTTCTTCCTAGGATAATATATAATTGTCGTCATGGCCTCGTTAGTTATGGGTTTGAAATGTCTGTCCGTTCTTCTTTTGATAATTACGAATTAACCCAACTAATTTCTTCATATCATCAAATTAAGAAAGGGAAATGTTCAAATCTACTCTTAAAATATTCGATTTGTTTTAAAGTTCTTGCCATTTACCTTTCAGTCCATGAAAATCAAATATCATTAATTTCGTCCCATATTTGCACCTTCCTCTAATTGTTGTCCGACTTGGCTCTAACATTTGCCGCGGTAGAGCCATGCAGACCACCGAAAGATCTAAATTATCCATAAGCTATCAAAATGGGTTATATATACCCTCTTCAATAATTCAAAGCACGCCACTGAATAATTGAAAATGTTCAATTATACTCTTGAAGAATTGTAACGGCCCAAATATACCCTCATGTGGCTTTCACCGTAACAACCAAATGTGGAATTTTTCCACTGTAGAAATCATTTGTGGGAGCATATTCGAGACAAAAGATAATAGTAGGGTTCATGGAGCAAAAGGTAAACCGAAGGCAAACGTAATACATATTATAACATTAGGAGTATATTTGGACATTTTTCCTATTAAGCATCATGGATTCGAAAATGGGATTTTTTTAATCATTGTTTACCCCTAAATCGGATAACAATTAAATTTATACGCGGTTTTAAGGATACGTGGTTTGATTCAAGATAAATAATCAAGAATATTAGATAAACGAGTTAAAGCCAAAATAAACAATCGAACCAGTTGTAATATTATGGCCTAGCTCGAACTTAGATTGAACAGTGACCTCGTCCTCGATTGGACCCTTGATTCACCTGGAGGTCCCGAAGAAGGATGTGCCATCAGGAGAGGGCGGGCCGAGGTCGAGCCCAAAACTAGTGAAGCAATTTTCTGCTCCGAGCGTGGACCCCGAGCGCAGGAGAACGGTTGTTGTTACAATCATGGAGGACGCCCAGGTCCTGTCTGCTCCGGTGGGCATAGCCAGCTACCTTCGATGCCCGGTGACCGATGAGGACTAGGCAAATATGAACGAAGTGGGTACGTCGAGCCTCTTCAACGAGGTGCAACAGGCACTGAACCAGGTAAGGAGTCAGCCCTTTGTACCCTTTTGTGAATCTCACTTTGGTTTTTGTTGTGCTCTACTAACTTCATAGTTTTTCAGGCTTCAATTCTTCATCATAAAAGCTTCATCCGGTACCGTTTGAAGAATAGCCAGCTCGAGTTCGAGCTCAAAGAGCAGGTCCGGAAGAAGGACTTGTACATGGCTCACAGTGAGCAGCAGGACGAGGCCCTCAAAAACCTCCCGATTCTCCAGGCCGAGCCGGAAAAAGCCCAGAAGGAGGCCTCGACCATGAAGCGGGAACATGCTGACCTGGTTTAGAAGGTAAAGATCTTTGAGGCTAAAAATGACCAGCTAGTCGTGGTGACTAACAACACAACTTCGCAGGTCCAAGAGAAGATAGATCTGATCGACCAGCTTCGGGCTGAGATGGATGAGGTCAAGGCCACGACCGAAGTGTGGAAGGGCAGAATGGACCTGCTGGATTCGGAGAAAGAAGCTGCAAAAGCGGAGCTAGCATCGGTCGAGAGCCAACTCCGGGTGGTGAAGGACAAAGCCGATAAGTGGTCTCGACTAAATGATGATCTTCAAGCACAACTGAGCTCGGCTGTCACGGAACGGGATGCTCTCGGGCAAGAATATGCCACACTGAGGTCCAAATTGGATGCAACCTCTTCTGATGCCGAGGAAATATTGGCCCAGTATAAGGCTGATGTGGTGGTAGCCGATACCCGCTTAAAGACGAAGACTGAGTACATAAAGCGGCTATCCCGGAGAGAGACCCTCGAAGAGATCCATGCCCGAGGTTTTGACCTATCGCCTGAGATTGAGGAAGCTAGGAGACTCGAGGCCGAGGCAAAGGAGCTCTACGAGCCTGAGGGTCCCGAAGGCTCCGAGGGTTCCGAGGGCTACGACGGTTCTGGCGACGAGTCGGGTCCCGGTGAAGACCAGGCGTAGATACCTTAGTACTTTTCCAGTTTTTCCTTATGTATATTTTTTTTTGTTTTTTTTGAGGCCATTCTATCGTGCCTTTGTAAATATATTTTGGAGTACATAAAATTTTTTCCTTTCTGGAAATACCGTGTCTTTCCTTTTCCAGCATCTACTTGCAATTTTCTATTTGCGTATTATTTTTAATGCGTTAGCATAAAATCAGATGTAATTCTGGAGCATCCATTTTTCAGAGGTCAGAACGGAGCCAGACTTCGATGCAACTTTGGTTTACTTGTGGCTTCGAACCCTCATTAAAACCAAAGGTTTTTAAGATGCTTAAGTGTTTTTAGATGATATTTTTGCCGAGGGTAACCTTTTGGTAGGTTTCGATTTTTCGTAAGGGCCTTACTTTCTAGTTACGGACATCGGACATTTCCGAGCCATTTTTAGGATGGCCATAACCTTTCATATTTGGGAACCGCCTAGTGGGTTTGGTGCCTCTGGGATTCGGTAGCCCAGGTCGTCCGAATTTCATCGGGCGACAGTCCTCGAGTAGGGGTAGCCCATGGGCTTGATTGTCCTTGAGCAGGGGTTGCCCGTGGGCTTTAGGACCAGGATCGAAGAAGAAAAATGCGTAGTAACAAAGTGTAAGGGAAGTAGAAATTTCTTTCATTACTTATATGCAAGGTACATGATAGAAGGCATATAAAACTTGTGCCGTGGCTAGAGTGGACTATGTGAGCACGGTTCATATGAGCGTTTGACCATTATAATGAATCCTAACCACCAAACCTTAGCTTTTAGCACATAAAATTTCTTTTTCCCTTGCTAAAGATCTTAATCCGAGGGTAATGGCCCCCAGTATTCGAGGTCAAACTCGTGAGGGCTCGGATACTGTCAATTTGATGCAAACGATCATTGATTCTGGTTTATAACCTGTCTTCAAATCTAAAGTAGCACGATTTACTATTGTCTCATTAAAAACCTTGCCGAGAAACCCACTTCGGGACAAAACCAGTTCAAGGAAAAAAGAGTGCAACACGTGTTTTCAGACCTAATAGCCACATCCATCCTTGGCTGATTACCTGCATACGTTAGTCCGAATTATAACACAATTAAAAAGGAATTGAGTTCATACCTTAGCAGTAGTACCGCTTTAAGTGTGTCACGTTCCAATTGTTTGGTAGTTGTACATCGTTTCCCGCTTCGAGTTTATATGAGCCTTTGCCAGTTATTCTGAGAACTCAATACGATCCTTCCCAATTTGGGCCCAATTTCCCTTTGTTCGGGTTCCTGGTGTGTAGTGTTACCTTTATCAACACCAAGTCCCCGACTTGAAAGTGTCAGAGGCTGGCTCTTCGATTGTAATACCTTTCTATTTGCTACTTCTGGGTGTCCAACCGGACCAGGGCAGCCTCTTGCCTTTCATCCAATAGTTCCAGGCTCGTGATCATGGCCTGGCTGTTTGGCTCTTCAGTCGCATACTGGAACCTGAGGCTCGGTTCTCCCACCTTGATTGGTATTAAGGCTTCAGCTCCGTAGAACAAAGAAAACGGGGTGGCCCCGATGCTCAATTTCGAAGTCGTACGGTATGCCCACAGTACTTCGGGCAGGATCTCCTCCCATTTCCCTTTTGAACCGGTCAACCTCGCATGTATAGTATCTTCCCTATGTGTTTTGATAATCATGATGCCTTGATGGATTGGATAGCTTGTTATGACGCCTATGCTCGTTTTCTTGACTATTGTTCACTTTGTGCTTAATGCTTAATATCTTGTGGCTCCATGAATACTTGTATTATTTGATAGTCGGAATGAGACCTTCCTTAGTGAGTCATGTGACATGTGTGTAGTGAGGTTTTGCGTAGTCCATATTATTGTAATTGAGTCTAGAACTTGCCCGATATGTGAGTTGAAGTAAAATTTTAGGTGATGCTCGGTTTGAAAAATGATTTTAGGCTTTCTTTGACCTTTTTGAGCCTAGTGCTTATCTCAAATAAAAATCTATCCCTATTAAACCCTTTTGAGCCTATAGACATTTATTTGGTACCCACATTACGAGCCGATACCCTTTTGTTCTTAATTGACATTATTTTGATCCTGTTACCTCTGAAAGCATTTTAATTATGAGATGAGCGCAAAGTAAGTTGGAAATTTGGTTGGCTTTCGAGTGAAACCAATAAAAAAAGAAATGTGCATTTGTTTTGTAAAATAATACACCACTAGCGGAATTTGAGAGAAAAAAAAAGAAGAAAGAAAATTCTAAAAAAAAGAAAGGAAAAATATAGGTGAATAAATTATTGTCTTGTTATTGCTAGTGAGGTATAAAGTGAAGTAGTGCTTAAAGAAAGAGAATAATTTTGGGGAGTGATTTTGTTTGTGAAAGTGAAGTGGATTGAAGAATTTGCGCTTTAAGTTTATTATGTGATGTGTTAAAGTGCTTAGGAGGGTGAACCACTATTTTCTATATATATCCTACCCGTCCCTTAGCCCACGTTACAACCACTATAAAATCTTAATTGATTTTAGATTGAGTGAGCCTACATTAGTGGAGATTTGCATTATGGGCAAGCCTATGGTACTTTTTGCATGCATGGGACTTCTTTATGAGAGCGAGATATTTTCTTTGATATATGTGAGTCCTTAAACTATATTTGATCATGAGATTCAAATGTGTGGATTCAACTTACTCTCTTGTTCTTGTTGTGAGGGCACATGGTTTCACGAGGGATATGTAACGTTATTAGATTTCTCTGTGATGTTGGGTAATCAAGCCATGAGTGCATTGTGACATTGAGTTAGCTTTTGAGGCTAGGATTGTTATAAGCACGTTGTCTTTGTTGTGAATATTTTTGAAGAATGACATAAGTAAAGGGAAATGTAAGTGATTGCATATGCTATTGCTATCAACCATGGTCAAAGGTTGACATGGATTGGGTACCTTATATGT